GTCAAGACGTGACGACAACAATGTAAGGTGTAATTGAACTGCGAACATAGAGAGACGTATTGTTGAGCACGTGAGACGTTCGTTGTGAATTACAACGTTTGTTATAGCGCGACTGTTGAAATTAAGTGTATTGCAAAGTTGTATTCAGAAAGAATAAACCAGTTTTATTTAAGAAAGGACTTGTGTCGCTAAAGTTTCATCAGAAAGAAATTTTACGGAAAATTAACTAACGAATGGAGGCGTAACAATATAATAGACATTTGTTGTTGCTTTATAAACGTTTATACGCTTATACTGTCAGCTAAAAACGGATACTGCTATGATTTTGCCTTGTTTATGAGCTCGTTGCTGTCCTAATTTAGTATCCTCTTTTTCATAAGTTCTTAAAAATGTTAAAAGAGAGAGAGAAAGGAGGCCCCGGGGCCCATGCTGGCTATCGACGGTCCTGCCATGACCTATTTAAAAAACTTAATTATTTTTCATTTGAAAGTTGATTTACATGGCTATAAATATATAATATATGAGATGTTTTGTGAGCGGCTTCTTTTACACTCGACGCTGGTTAAATACATATTTACACGAAATCTTAGGCACAAAACCACTTGGCCCAGTGAATAATGGTTGAGTGGAAAAAAAGCCAATGCAGCAGTAAACTGTTAAAAAACATGTAACATTCACCTGTATGTAGTTTAACACTAATTCTCTATAAACGGACGTAAAAAACTTATGAAGCAAATTAATTAAAAGCTGTTAATTTAAAAAGGGGAATAGGGATCGTCATAAAATTAGTTGAATCAAAATGCAAATATTACATTTTCAAGCCTACAGTTAGGAACTCTAAAAATAAACAAACTAGGCTGGAAATAGTGTCTACATTATTTTTTCAAGCTATAAATTCCTATTATGACGGCACTATAATTGATAAGTACTGTAGACATGGAGTCAAAATAGGGATTTGTAGCTTGAGAAAATAATGTAGATACTATTTCCAGTCTAGTTTGTTTATGTTTCTTAGAGTTCCTAACTGTAGGCTTGAAGATATTATCTTTGCATTTTAATTTAACTTGTTTTTGTACTGTTACGTCTCTGGTCGTTAGTTAATTTTCTGAAAAATTCTTTCCGAAGAAACTTTAGCGATACAAGTCCTTTCTTAAATAAAACTGGTTTATTCTTTCTGAATACAACTTTGCAATACACTTAATTTCCACAGTCACGCTATAAGAAACGCTATAATTCACAACGAACGACCCACGTGCTGGACTCAATTGTCAGTCTCTCTCTGTATGTAATTCAATTACATTGTTGCCGTCACTTCTTGGCGGTCTTATATACAAGACTACTGAAAATCTAGTAAACGCTCGAGGCTTCACGAAGGGGCATGATTTTTCTAGAAGTTCATGACGTGTTACTAGCGTCACGTGACTTCCGCTGTCGTTACAGTACTTTTTTGACGATCCATATTCCCCTTTTTAAATTAACAATTTTGAATTATAATGTTTGTTTGTTTGAAGTTAAGCACAAAGCTACACAATGGGCTATCTGTGGTCTGCCCACCACAGGTATCGAAACCCAGTTTCTAACGTTGTAATTCCGCAGACATACTGTTGGGCCACTGGGGGCCGAATTATCTTGTAATAGAGCAAAGTTTCTAAAATATAGTTTATGGACACATGTGTACGTGATAATTTTTGTACAGTTATTTTTATACAAAAATATATAGTTCGAAACTCATTTTACATTAAGGAATAATACTGAAGCAGATCAATATTTCATATAATTTAATCCAATTTCTTAATTTCTAAACACATCATAATAATTTTAAATACTTTTGATAAATTTAACCTGATGATAAAGTTTGGAAACTGTAATAAACGCAGTTAATAAATTTTTGAAACAATTATAATTTATATAAATATTTTCGCTCTGGTGGCCACATCAAGGGTTACTAGTACTTGTCCCAAAGCATGCTGGGTTTTCGTTCTTTTTTCATTCTTATGCTGGCTTAACATGGTAAGATAGAGTATAGTGAATGTATTCTATCCATTAAAATCAAGTAATATAATTGTATTTGACATAAAATTTTCAGTAAATTGTTTTTGTTAAGATCGATTTATTATATACTTTATAATTTTAAGCGCACTGGAGCTTGTAAAAATGTTCTAAATTTGTCCAGATATATGGGCAAGAACAGGCGTTATACCATTTTTTTTGTGATTTAAGGATAGTAGTAGTCTGATTGTTAGGGGTTCTCTGATTCTATTGAAGTGTTGATGAAACCATTCGAAACTTGACTGTAGTGATGTTTTTATTTATTTTTTGCGCTGAATTTATTTAATCGATCCGTGTAAAATCACCTATAAGTTTGCTTCTTTCTCTCCTGGGGTTTTGCCTGTAAGCTGTAACGTAATTTAGTAATATTAGCATAAAAACAGTGCTAGAACCTGTAAAACTGTAGGCTTAAAAATAATCATGTATTTTATGGGCTAAGTTCAGTTTAAAAGATGAGTTGTTGGGAAGGGTTTGGAAAAAAAATTGACAGAATGACTCCATCCTCCAGGGGCATGCTCGATTCACATGTTTTGGATGTTCTTTTCCAGTAGCTGAAGTGCGTGAACCCAATTAGGAATTAAACATTTCTTGTGTGAAGGTAAATGCATTTGTCATCCTTGTTTTTTGATGATGAAGCAGAGTAAAGTGATGAAACAGGATTTTTGAAGTTAATATAATTCAAAATCACTTGTAGAAAGTTAATTATCTTCTTTAATATTTCTAAAACAATTGTGCAGCCTAAACATCTGTGCTGTGGCAAAATATATTTAGTACGTGCTACATTGGTACATCTTCACATTGTTAATGATACCACTGTTCTCTTTTTAAGAAGAGTTGGAGGAAGTCTAGAACTGTTACATATTTTGTTGCTTTGCAGAAAGTGTAATACTTTCATATGGATGAAATGAGCATACCCCAGAGTTAGTGAGGCTATAAATCACATTAAATCTAAGTAGCGTGAAAGCCTAAATCTACTCTACCATTCTGTGATTCACAATCATGCATATTGGTGATTTTCCTGTAACACTGATATGCTCTTGCATATTTAAAAAAAAATGAGCAAATGTTTTAAAAATATATGCATATTTTAACTCACTAGACTTGTGTAAAGAATGATAAACATTGTTATAATTTTGTTGCCATTACGAGATCGTTGGCTGAATTTTACGAATTGTCATATTAAGGTGTTATTTAGCATACCTGATAGTTTGTTTAATGCTGCATATACTTAGTTTGAATTGAACATGTGGTAATTGTCTGGAATATTTGACCTAAAATGTTTTTTGTTAAAATGTGTAGGAGCCCTTCTCATAAGTATATAAAATTAAATCATAAATATTCTGCTTACAGTATCTTAGTATTTTTTGAAATATTCCTTTAGGGAATGTACAGAAAGTAACATGGTGAATAGTATGGTCCTGATGTTTCAGACCTGTATGTAGGATTAGATTGAAATATGATTTTACTTGGGGGAAGGGGTACATTTTCTTTTTTTTTGGATTCAATACTTAGATCTCAAGAAGAAAAAAATATATAGTGGATGGATTCCAAACTTGAACACTAACATTCAATGTTAATGTACCCTGTTCCTAGTCAGCTTCCTGTATTGTTTCAGTGTTGGCTCAAAGCTGAAAGGACTATTCAGATTGAAAAGTGCACTTATGATTCACAAGGTTTGCGTTATGTCACAGTTGTGATTTTGCCTGGTAATTGCCATCTCAATCTTGATAAAAGGGCAAACAATAGCAAAGCAAGTACAGTTATGACCAAAGTGTTTCAAATGAAGCAGGGAAGTTTTCCTGTGGCCCAACTGCTTAACCAATACCACCTAAATCCTGAAAACTGATGATGCAGCAGTGATATTTCACTTACATATAACATATACATTGATAATATGAACTGTCAAACTTTTAAGTTCATTTTTCTTAAAAGTAACATTTTCATGGTTTTAGCATGATAACTTTCTATAAGAATTTACTGATAAAGCAATGACAACACTGACAGGACAAGTGTGGCATAAAGTTGAAAATAATTGTTTCAACAACTTCAGGTAGTGCTACATTGTCAGAGGGTTAACACTTAAGAGATTAGACTGGTGGTCATGTATGACATACATGTATACAGCCAGAATGCACCAGAATAAACAAAAATACATTATCTTACTATGTAGCATAGCAACTAAAAAGAAAAATGTATCTGAAAAGAAAGGAAAGATTGGTTGATATTGCTACAGCCCCGATTGCAAATTTAAACCAAGATCTGACTCAAGAATTAAACTACCACACACATCACTTTATACGATGCCTTCACCCAGGTTCAAGAGTGCAGCACAGACTCCAACAATCTTATATCATTGCTTGCCAACTTTTTTCACTGACTTCGTTTGAAACTTGTTTTACACGATGAATGGGTGGGGGATTTTGCAGGATTGACTAATGCTTTTTCAGCAGTCCTATTATATGTTAAATGTGAATTTGAACAGAAGATATTCGACGTATTTGTGCAATTGAATATGCAACGGTTCATAATTTTTGCAGGTTTGTAACAACAAGAGATCGTCACAAAGACAAACAAATATGAGTCACGACAGTGGACAAGTGTAGGGAATGAACGGGATTTCCCCTTCATAACGATATTTGTTTGTCCTTTTGCCTCGTTTGCTATGCAGACATTGCATTGTGTTAGGGTAAAGTTCCTGGATGTCCAACTTCAAGAATGTTTTATAGTCTAGTGTAAATGTGAATGCAGTATCTTGTTTCATTTAAATTAACTAAGTGTTTAAATACAAGGATAATTATCTTAACATTTCGATCCACCACTTTTGTAAGGAATATATGAGATTGTAATTAAGTCTGAAGAGCATATGCTTGAAAGGTTACTTGATAAAATGTTTATTTCAGTGACTTGATTGCATTTATTCCTTACATAATGCAAGTTCCAATTCTTGTGAAAATATCTTTCTTTGTCCTGATGTCCATCTTGGAAAATCAACAGAGCATTCCAGATTTATGTTCAGCATTGAACCAACAGTGATGTCTTAGTAATTTCAATGTTTGTTAGTATTACTGAATTTTGGAATGAATCTAGTAAGATAAGTATACAAGTTTAAGAAATTATAATCTCTAAAATGACTAGTTAAGGCAGTGTTACTTTATTTATAGGATAGTTTGTTGAATAGTTCATCTTAAGGTGTGCTAAAAGTTGAAAATTTGAAGGAGAAATTGAAAGATTTTAGAAAGCAGTGTTGAATATCAGAAAAAGGGTTTCAATATGTAACTTGGATTAAGATATTGAAAGTAATAGGAAAGTCTAGATAGAACAAACTGCTCTTTGTTACTGCTTGGAAATAAAACGTGATTTTAAATTTCTAGGCTCGTGGACCGAAGAAGCATTTGAAGCGTTTACATGCTCCGAAATCATGGATGTTGGACAAGTTAGGAGGTGTCTTTGTAAGTATGTTTACAGTTGAAATTTATTATACTTTTAGAATCAAATATGTAAACTTTTTAGTAATTTTAATATCAGATGTTTTGTATGACTTATTCCTTCATATATAGATGCTCCTAATATGAAGTTTGTATTTCATTTTTGGTTAATAGTATAAATTTATGGTGACACTGGGTGTGAAAACAAAAGCACAAAAACTCTTGATTATACACAAGATTCCAAATGTATTTGTAAAGAGGAAATATTTTTTCCTAAGGTAAAACAAACATTTTGACTGTTTAATTTACAAAATCAGTTTCTGGAATTTTTATGAATATTTCAAAATGTAATTTAGTATTGAAATAGTAAGACTTGCTCTATTAGCCACTCATTTCACAAATGTAGTCTAAAAGCAGCATCATTTCAGTTGTGAAAAAATCAGGCTTATTTTTAAATTGAAAAAGTTAGAAAGGATGTCAGAGATTTTCAAGAATATTACTAAAGGGAATTGGTAGAATAAAAAAATCTATTGTATATAATGGTAAGACAAGGGGGGGATAAATTTTAGCAAGATTGGGGTCATCTTCAGTTTAAACCTAATCTTGTGGGTACTCTTTTCTGCACATATCACAAGGTTTCACTGATTTACATTTTATGTATATCAGTGAAATTGGTGTTATAATGTATGCTATAATTCAAGGTTTTATATTATCCAAGTTTTAATTCCTTTATTTCAAAAGAAACCTTTAAAAAACTACAATTTTGTTATCATGTGATGCACCATTGTTCATAATTCTTTTGGTCTCTAACTAGAATAGTCCTACATGTACAGTATACTTGTATAGTTAGACAGAAACTAGGTTAATGTAAATTATAACAAACACAATATGGTTATGAGGTTTGCCCTTTTGACTGAGCCCATGCTGAAAGAGCTAAGGGAAGGCTTAATAACTTTTTAAATATTCAGTGTTGGATTTGAGTAGATGGGACAGTACTAATAGACCAACAGGCCTAGTTTCCTTTATATGTTTTAGAAGGAATATACATACACTGTTGTCGTAAAGTGGATTTTACATTTTAAAAGTTTTACATAAGCAAGTTTAGTTGTATAGGAAAAAAGAGATGCTGAATTTTTTACCCATGAAAGCAAGTGTTGAATATTTATATATAATTTAAAAGATTGTGCTTTTCATTCATGGTGCCAGAATCAAGGATGAAAATCTTCCAAATCTTTATCAGTGGTCTGGGTTTATTTCTTAGGTTAGTAGAAAATGGGAGAGTGTGAGGTTAACCTATCATTTCTATGAAAGTGGAATTTGAACTTCCATTGATAATGTTACTGACTATAGACCTAATTTTTATGCTCTTGATGGAACATGAACAGAAGCCTATATTGTATACAAAACTTTTGGTGGATAAAACTAAATGTTAGCAATATTAACTGTTTGTTCTTAGTGGTTGTTACTTTAGTAATTATATTAAATCTAAATACCAGTGAGCAAATTGTTTAATATGATCTCTCAACTCATCACTGCTCTGGGAGAAAGTCAATGTTATGGCATAACTAAGCAGTGTTCATATTGCACAGAGCCAAACTATAAATAAATCTGTATAAAATACTATGTTTTGAAATATTATTCTAAATTTTTGTGAACTTCTGCAATCAGGGTTTCTTCCATATTCTTGTAGTCTTGAAATATTCAGGAATTTCATTTAATTTTCTAGGTAACAAAAGTTTGGGAAGTTTGCGTAGGATTTGGGAAAATAAAATTAAAAAAAATTAAGAATGTGACGTTTTGCGTTCCTTTGCTTACTACAGTCATTTTGTTTATTCAGTTGTTGTCTAGGCATTTCAGTATTGTGTATTATTGGTGAATTACACCCATGTGTTGGTTGATCAAATTGGAAACTGCCATACAGTAGGAACTATGCCATAAGTAGATGTTGGTAAACTTGTACACACATTTGTGGCTTGCCACCCAGCTTAATGATTGACTTTACTAAAGTATTTCTGAGGTTAGTCTTCAAACTATAATAACATAATGCTCAGTGTTAGGTCATTGATGGTTGTAGTGTACTTAAAAGCAATATTTTGATACCTTGGCCTTGACGTTATGATACCAATTTTACACTATCTCTTGAATATGTTTGGAGACTGCTTGGGAAACTGTCTAATATAGGGATCATCTAAAAAATGTGCCATAAATTGAACAGATTCCAAAACAAAGTTGTTGCAAGTGTATCTTTACATGTCATTCATACTTCATTTAATATGTAATGATTATAACTAAAGCATTTAAAATTGAGGCTCTAAATAAAATTTGGTGTGGCACAAGCATGTAGAAGTAAACAACTTGACACTGCAGGAACACAATCACAAAATAACTTGTAACTTGTGCTTGAATTGGTAAAAAAGAACATGACAATTTAAATACTTATTTTGACGAGTCTAGTCATAAGTTTGAAAATGTTATATATATATATATATATATATATATTA